CCCAGTACCTCCTCTATAAATAAACAAACAAACAAACAAACAAACCTAATTCCCACCCCTGCCCCCCCACCCAAAAAAAAGTGGACCCAAAATTATTTAAGAAGCTAATATCACATCCCTCACAGGATAGAGAACCAATAAGCCCGGTTAGGACATCATTAGTGAATATCTAGCAAAGCACTTATTTAAAAATCTTAGAACTCAAAGAATCCTTACATTCAGCCTTCCTACCAACAAAATGAGCAGAAAATGACCGAGGTTTCGTTATCCACTTTGAGATCTTTTTTTTGCAGCTTGCTTTGGAGCAGAAGTCTTAATTTTATCTTTGTCCACCCCCGTACCACCACCACCACCTCCTCCTCCCTGAAGTGAGATACCTCATCTTTGTAATACATGGAGAGGCTTCCATTTATCAAGTATTACTCCAAGGAGTCCAGAAGATCTTTGTTATATAGGATGTATTCTAGCTACAGTAACACTGTTTCTTTTACTTAAATTTTTTTAAAACAGCAACTCCCCAACACTTTTCTCATTGTAAAAGATCATTCCAGTAAGTACCAGGTATATAACGGCAAAAGAGCCAGCGAGTCCATGGTGAGTTGACTGTAGTCAGGATTAAGTAAGAGTACAGGCAGTGATTTCCTTGGGTTGTTGCTGCAAAGGTTATTTTTAGTAACTTTTAAAAAATTTTTCTTAGCTAATTCTTCATGTTTTCTCTTACAGGTGGGCTTTCCAAGGATTTATTGATAATGCTACTTGATTGTAAACAATCACCTGGAAATACTGATGATAACATATTACCTTATTTGAACAAGTTTTCCTTTGTTGAGTACCAAACCTTGTAAAGGTAACTTGGACTTTAATAAAAGGGAAATGAGTTTGAACTGAAATTAGGTATTGTTTCATATGTTTGCATTGAAAAACAAAAAAACTCAACGTCTAGGATTTACAAGGGCAGAACTATGTTGATGTTCATCCCTGGGGGAAGCAACATGAAGAGAATCTGGAGGAAAAACAGAGCAGTGCTGACTGGGACGCTACACTACATGGAAGGAGAGGGAAGGAGCGGGCCCAGAGAGTGATCAAACCTGAGAACCATGGTCTACTAACTACACAGTAAATAAACGTATGTGGCTATTTTAGTTTATTTCACATTACTACTTCATTTGAAAAAAGGGAAGAGGGCTTTTTTGGTAGGGAATCAACCTTTTATAAAAGGTCATCTGTATTAAACCTTACCAAAACTGATTTTACTAACATTTTTTCTTACATGGCTTTAGGAGAGAAGACATCTAAATTTCAACCTAATATTAATCCAATTCCCCTGATGCTGCAGTTTAAACTGGCTGTATTAGAAGTCACTCAGACCTACAACTTCTTTATCCATTAGCTGGTTTCCAGTTTTATGGGGCTTTTAAAGTAAGACAGGATTTGTGTATTTTATTTTCTCAAGAAGTAAACCCATTTACTCAATTCTTTAACCGGAAAGCCTCCAAATCAACCACAGCAAATTCTTTGATGTCCAAGGCTAATACTGCTAGGAAAGAACAGGTAGAGAAGAAAAGAGGCACTAAGGGTCTGGCTGCTACATAGCACATCCTCAAGACTATCTCAATGACCACTTTAAAATTATTTCACTCGTTTTGGGAAGGTACACAATTTGTTCTATCCCCAGAGACAATCAAGAAAATCTTATATAAATAACTTTTAATTTTTAGCTAATTTTCCAGCCAGTGCACCCAAATATTTTTATATAGCTTGCTTTTGTGTCATGTGGTTTCCAGAGAACCAAAGCAGTTCCCTCAGTACATCAAATGGCAACAAAACAGTGAAACCAAAAACCTTCCTCATTCACCCCAACTCCAAATATTTTGAACCAAATTTCAAGTATCATGTCATTTCATCTATAAATAAGTATTTTGGAGTATCTCAAAGTTTATCTTTTTAAGCATAACCACAATAAAGACTTTTTTTTTTAAAGAAGTTTGGGTAGTGACCTCTTTTTCTTAAAATAAAAATATCTTTACTAGTTTTCATTATAAAGATAATACATGCTCATAAAGCAATAGAGAAAAATACAAGAATAAAATACACCTGAAATTTTACCACCCAGTTATAACTATGACTTGCATTTTGGTGATCATTTTCCCAGATGTTTCTCTGTTGTACATGTGTTGCAAGCTGTTTTACAGACCCTTTTTTCTCTCCTTTGTGGTGCTGGAGAAAATAGGTATATCTTTTAGTTCAATGGATTCTCGCTGTGTATAAGTAGACCATAAATATTGTTCCCAACTTAAAGAGGATTCTTCCACAGCTTGATGATGGTAGGGTTTCTACCCTAACAGAATGGGGTCTCTAGCTTTTTCTTTCTCTTTATTTTGAAAAGTTTCAAACCAATGAATGGTTTGCTGCATTTGTTTTGTACCTAATATACATACTTTTTCATCAACCATTTGAATGTGAGTTGCAGACATGACACTTTACCCTAAATACTTAAGCAGACATCTAAGAAAGCGGAATTTCTCTTCCTATATAACCACAGTACCATTAGTATGCTTCAAGAAGTTTGGCATAAAATATATACAATTCATTTTTCTAAAGAGTCCAGGCCAGTGGTATAAAACGCCCTGCAATCTGCAGCTTCCTTACTGTTTCCTCACTGTTAAAATCTAGTTAAACATTTTTGACAAGAATACAGTAGCCCCCCAATCCTTTATTTGCAGTTTTATTTTGTGCAGTTTCAGTTACCCATAGTCAACTACAGCCTGAAAATATTAAATGGAAAATTCCAGAAATAAGTGGTTATTTCATAAGAGTGTTGTTCTGAATAGTGTGATGAAATCTCTCGCCTTCCCTCTCTAGTCCATCCATCCCATTAGTCACTTAGTCACTGTCTTGGTTATCAGATTGACTGTCATGGTCTCACAGTGCTGTGTTCAAGTAATTTTACTTAATAAAGTCCCCAAAGTGCAAGGGTAGTGACGCTGGCAATTTGGATATGCTGAAGAGAAGCTGTAAAGGCTTCCTCTAAGTGAAAAGGTGGATGTTCTTGATTTAACAGTCCCAAGCTTGAGGGGAGGGTATAGCTCAAGTGGTAGAGCACATGCTTAGCATGCATGAGGTCCTGGATTCAATCCCCAGTACCTCCTCTAAAAATAAGTAAATAAAACTAATTGTCCAGTGCCAGCAACAAAAAGTCCTAGGCTGAGTTTGTTAAGATCTTCACTAAGAATGAATCTTCCATCCATGATATCGTAAAGAAAGAAACAAGTTTGTGATAGTTTTGCTGTTGGTAGGAATGTATTTTGGTGCAGCCATTACGGAAAACAGTATGGAGATTCCTCAAAAGACTAAAAATAGACTTACCATATGATCCAGCAATCCCATTTCTGGGTACATATCTGGAGGGAACTCTAATTTGAAAAGATACATGCACTCCAATGTTCATAGTAGCACTATATCCAATAGCCAAGACATGGAAGCAACCAAAATGTCCATCAACAGACAACTGGATAAAGAATTATGGTATCTTTATACAAAGGAATACTATTCAGCCATAAAAAATAATAAAATAATGCCATTTGCAGCAACATGGATGGACCTGGAGAATGTCATTCTAAGTGAAGTAAGCCAGAAAGAGAAAGAAAAATACTATATGATATCACTTATACGTGGAATCAAAGAAAAAGGACATATTATATATAGAAAACCCTAAAGATCGTACCAAGAAACTGTTAGAACTAATAAATTCTGTAAAGTAGCAGGGTACAAAATCAATACCCAAAAATCTATTGCATTTCTATCCACTTACAAACTGTCAAAAAGAGAAATTAAGAAAACAATCCCACTTAAAATTGCATCAAAGAGAAAAAAATACCTAGGAATAAATTCAACCAAGGAGGTGAAAGAGCTATACACTCAAGACTATGACATTGATGAAAGAAACTGAAGACAGAAATAAATGGAAAGATAGTCCATGCTCATGGACTGGAAGAATATTGTTAAAATGTCCATAATACCCAAAGCAATCTACAGATTCAATGCAGTCCCTATCAAAATTACAATGGTGTTTTTCACAGAAGTAGAATAAACAATCCTAAAATTTGTGTGGGACCACGAAAAACCCTAAATAGCCAAAGCAATCTTGAGAAACAAGAACAAAGCTGGAGGCATCATGTGCCCTGATTTCAAACTATATTACAAAGCTATAGTAATTAAAAGCTGTGGCATTGGCAAACAATGACAAAAACAAAAACCAGACACACAGATCAATGGAACAGAGTAGAGCCCAGAAATAAACCCATACATATATGGTCAATTAATTTACAACAGAGGAAGCAAGAACATACAATGTGGAAAGGATAGTCTCTTCAGTAAATGGTGTTGAGAAAACTGGACAGCCACACCCAAAAGAATAAACTAGATTATCTTTCCACTATACACAAAAAAATTATTCAAAATGGATCAAAGACCTGAAACCATAAAACTAGAAGAAAGCATAGGTGGTAAGCTCCTTGAAATATGTCTTGGTGATGATTTTTTGGATTTGATACCAAAAGCAAAGTCAACAAAAGCAAATATAAACAAGTAGGACTACATCAAACTAAAAAGCTTCTGGAAACCAATGGAAACCAACAAAATTAAAGGCAACTTACTGAATGGGAGACAATAGTTGCAAATCCTGCATCTGATAAGGTGTTAACATCCAAGCCATGAAAACAACTTACACAACTCAACAGCAAAAAATAAATAAAAATAAAAATAAGAAAAGTGGGCAGAGGACCTGAACAGATATTTTTCCAAAGAAAGACATACAGATGGCCAACAAGCATATGAAAAAATGCTCAAAATCACTAATCATCAGGGAAATACAAATCAAAACCATGATAGGATATCACCTCACAGCTATCAGAATGGCTATTATCAAAAACATCAGATAACAAATATCAGTAAGGATCAGAAACAAACATTGTACTTCAATTTAAGAAAATTCACCACTGTCCCGTATTCTTTTCTATGCCTAATCCCAGATACTTGCCTAGATGAAGGAATTCAGCTCTAGTGGACAGCAGAACCAGAATTCTCAATTGATGAAGATCATCTGTCCCAGGACCAAGAAAATTTAGGGAATGGGTGGGATTTCCATGAGCTGGAGCCAAAGATAAAGAATGTGATTGCCCCACAGGGGCAGCAGTGCCTGAAAGCCAGGGTGAGAATCTGCTCTTAACAGCCAAGAATCTTCCCCCTACCCCCAACAACAAAGAATAAAAGAAACAAGGCTGATAATCAGAGACTAGGAGGTAAATTATTTGTCCTGTTCATCATTAGATGTGCAGGGCCTAGCATAGCACCTGCCGCATGTTAGATGAATAAAGCTTTACTGAATGGAGAAGATAAGGATCCCCAGGGCCAGCAGAGATACTCTAGGTTAGAGTCTGAGTAGCAGGGGTAAGGAAGAGAGGATTTGTGCCCTGTGTGCTGTGGCAGTTCTTGCCCTGAAGACTCATCCTCTTACAATCTAGCTTTTATTCTTTGTTGTTTGTTTTGGGCAGTGGGAAGTAACTTATTTTTCTCAAATTCCTAGTGAATATAATTTCTTAAGTGGAAAACAAAACTGCCCACACCAAGGCCAAAATATTGGGCAATCATAGTTTCTTCATAATAAAATGAATTTGGACTATATAATCTCTAAAATCTCTTCCAGCCCCAAAGTCCTTGATTCTAAATTAATTAAAAGTTGAGGGGAAACAGGACATTCATTTAACAAATATGTATTACTATGACTTTGTGACTTTGTGTAAAAACAAGGGCTACAAAATTAATAAGGCAATCTGTCCTTGGGGAATATAAAACCAAGCGAAAGAATAAACACTAAGTCCTCAGAATACTGTGTAAGCTTCATAATTTTACACTTCTTGAGCACTTACTGTATGCCAGGCACCATTCCAAGCACTTTGCAATTTAACCTCACAATTCTACTGAACAGGTACTATTATTATCCCCATTCCTCAGCTAAAGAAACTGAGACATAATAATTAAATAATTTGCCAGTAAGTGGCAGAGCACATAATCTGGATTCAGGGTCCATACTCAATCACATAGCAATTAGCTGAGCACTGATGAGAGACCCAGGAGTGTCATGGATGAGGGTACTCAAGACTCTTGGTACAAGTTCCTAGAGATTTTTCTGACATCAAGTGGGTTGTGGTCACACTTTCTTTGGCCCTTGGTGAGGTCTCTATCAGTTTAACAGGCAGCATAGCTATGAGGAAAACCATCTCTTCCAAGTCCACAGGGAGCTGGGTTCAGATTTCAGGTTTACCACTTAACTAGTGAATTTGACCATATCTAAGCCTCTTTGCTTAACGGGAGTAACAGTGCTTCCTTGGGAGGTCAGGAGAATTAAATACTAAGTTGAGCCATAAGAAATTGCTGTTTCTGGAGGTTAAAGGCAGCAGTGAAATCTACCAAAACAGTTAGCTTTCTTTTGTGCTTCTGATTTTTCAAAAACTCTAGTCCTAAATTCTTTTCTCCTGTCCTGCCTAAGGCATACGCCAGCTCAACTGTTTGAGTGGCCCTGGGGCTCAGAAATTACACAGTTGACCTACCCTGTGGAAGCTAATAAATTAGCCTTGGGACAGCCTCATGAGATTTGGCGATTACTACAAGGATCTGGAGCTACTTTCCAGCCAGCCACAAGAACATCCCCTGGGGCCAGAGAGGTCACAAGCCATGACAGCTCCGTGCCCTGACATACACAAACTCAGTGCACTTTCACCCTTCTTTCCAAGCCCTATTTTGCTCTTGTTTGTCACTGTGAGACGGGTAGTGACGTTGGTTCCATTTTAAAATGTGGAAACTGAGTTCTAGAAAGGATCAGGCCTCATCCAAGTTCTCTGGGCACCGCATGCTGCTGGAAATAACGTGGGCTTGGAGTTACATCTATCAGCCAACGCACTGCCTCGAGCTGTGTGACCTCCGCAAGGTCCTTGAACCTTTCTCTGGGGCCTGTTTCCTTTTCTGGGGAAGGGCATCAATATCTCCCCTTCTCTACCGCTCTTTTCGGTTCAGTGCAGGCTCTCCCCCGTCTGCCCTTGAGGAGCTCTGGCCGTGGCAAGAGGACCCACGCGGAGACACTGCGGGGAGCGAGCGCGCGCCAGGGACACATCCGCGCCCTCCGGAGATAGCGATAATTAACTTCGACTAGAAACAGAACTTGGCTTGCCATACCTAGGCTCAGTCCGACTATGAGGACCGCAGTGCGCCAGAAAGGAGCGACAAAAACAATCCAGCCCCCGAAGGGC